GCTGCTGCTGCTGCTGCCTCACCTCAGACCCCGCCGCTCTCCTATTGGCCGACTCGTCCACACTCGCACTTCCGGGGATCCGCTTCCGGTGCACGAGACGTCACTACCCAGCGGGCAGTGCGGGCCGGTGATGTCACGTCCGTGACTGCGTCACCTTTGGGTCACCAAAGGGTCAGAGGTCCCGGGGTGTAGGGGTCAGGGGTCATGTTGGAGTTTGGTCAGTGGGGTCCTACAGGAGGATCTTTATGATTCAATTGGTCAAACAACCAGGATTTAACCAAAAGACACTTTCTATTCTTTTAAAAATACAAACAAAAATAGGATTGGTATAACTTTTGGTTGGCTTCATTTTTAAAACCTTTAGTCTCATGGTATTGCTCCTATACCTTATGTATACATCACATTGAACATAATTGTGCAAACTTCCATACTCCATCGCAGGCCTCTGGGATAAACGGGGGGGCCCATGTCCTCGGGATTAAACCGCAGTGGGGGGGGGAATGTCCTGAGGGATAAACGGTGGTGGGGGGTGGCCCATGGCCTCGGGGATAGCAGCAAGGAGACATACTTTAGTGAGTAGGTGAGTGATTGGGATGGCGAGAGAAGGAGGAGACCGCAAGGGCTCAGTGGGTGGAAAGTATCAATTCAGATTCCACGCAGTTACTGAGACAGTAACAAAGATACCTTACCTTTGGGGATCCAGTTTATTAATTACTCAGTCGTACAGCTCCTACTGCACATCAGACCCAACTGTCGCCTGTTTTAATATGTTGTACACATGTCCGAGGCAGGTAGGGCTTGAACTCAAGCCCCTAACACCACCTGACCTGTATGTTTCAATTCAGAAGTGCCCTTACACACAACTGAATATTTTCCCCATCACCAAATCTCCCTTTTTTTCTGTCAATTGACCACCACCAGTAAATCATCTGTGTTTCCAATTCAATAATTTACATGTAAAACCCAGTAAGGACAATGTAACCATCAAAGACAGTGGAGACAGGTAAGAGACTAAATTTCCAAGATGGTGGCAGAGGAGGGCTCCTATGCTAGGGAGCAGTGATCATAATATGGTCAAAATTCAAATTCAGTTTCCGGGAGAATGACTCAGGCCTCAAGCCTGGGTCCTCAACTTTGATGAAGACAACCACAGAGTTTGAAGAAAGAGCAGCTGGGAAAATCGACCAAGGAGGGCAGTCAGTAAATGAACAGTGGCAGACATTTAAGCAGATGTTTCACAACACTCAGCAACCAGTTATCCCACTCAGAAGGCAGAACTTGATGAGAAGGATGATAAGGTGTATATAAATAGCCCATAATTTAAATCAGTATTTTACATTAGTCTTAGTGAGAAGGACATTATAAACCTTCCTATTCTATTAGATAAACAAGGTGCTAATGGGAGGACAGACCTTGCAAGAATCTCTTTATGACAAGGCACAAAATGTTTGACAAACTAATGAGACTGAAGGCAGAGAAGTTGCCAGGACCTGATAGCATACATCAAAGGAAGTGGCTGCAGAGATAATGGAGGCATTGGTTGAAATATTCCAGACTTCACTGGATTCTCTTGAGGGTTCCAGAGGATTGGAAAATCGGTAACGTGACCTCCCCTCCCACTGCAAGTTCTTTTTCAGTCCTGAGCATGTCTCCCTAAGGCTGGCACCAGACAGCCTTCTGGACATTTCTCTTTGCTATAGGGAATAGTGTTAACCTCCCTTGCCGTACTGTCCCCAGCTTTAACTACATTGCTTGTTGCTTCACAGACTTGAATGGCTTCCTGTACCATTGGCATCAGGATGACATCACTTGTCCACCCTGAAGCCCCGGCTCTCATCCAGACAATACTGAGAGAGATCCAAGCCAATCGGACAACAACTGAAGCTGGCCCTTACATGCCATCCTCTTGTTACTGACCACTAACCATATCGGAACACTTTATCTTGAGAGGTGTGACTGCCTCCTGGCACAAAGAATTCAGGCAACATTTCCGCATGGCTGATATATTGCAGAGTCTGTACTCCAGCTCTGAGCTAAACCTGCACCAACTACAACAATTTACTGTAAGCCTGTTGCCCCAGATCACAACATTATCCAGAAGCTCCCACACACTGCAGCTTCAACACAACACCTGGCCTGTCAACACGAATGTGTTACCATCCATTATTTGCTTTTCTTACTTTTGTTTGTACAGCTTTCTCATATATTTGATAACTTTACTATCAAATTGTGCACTGTGTTAAAAGAATGCAGCAGTTTATACCTACCTACAACAGATGCAACAAACAGCTCCACACCTATCACCATGTCACAGCAAGAACCATTCCCAATAGGCATCAATGAATTAAGTTCTGCTTCTGATGGAGTGTCCCTGGATCCTCCCCAAGCCATCTCCTCTCGGTGACACTGCCTTGTTACAGTCTCCTGTCCCTATCCTCTGGGTGACACTGCCTGCCTGTAATGGGGGTTCTGTATTCATCCGTTCCTCCTTATTTAAATCTTTGCTGATGTATTATTAAGAGGAAAGGATGGGTTTTTTTTTGCAACCTTCCATGCATCAACAAGTTTTGGATGACATCACTGGCTTTTTGTCAGGTCAAATCTCTTGTTTTGTCAGACTGTGTTGATTAAATAAAAAGTCCTTTTTCACCGCTGAGAAGTTGTCTAATATTAAAGTGGTTTAATATTAAAAATGGTTTTGAAAGCAGAATTGATTGGTTAGTACTCAAAACCAAACAGGGGCAGTAACGTTGTTTGACATAGTATGTAGAGCACCATTTCTGGGGGAGACTGTACAGTAGCAAATCTACAGGGGTATTGCAGATACTTGCTACCAACATAGTGGGTATAATCAGGGGCTTCAACGATGCGAATATAGATTCAGATACATGTAACATTGAGGATGGAAAAGGGCAAACAATCTGAGGTTGTGTGCAGGAAAGTTTTCTTACTAGTCCACTGGTATGGAGACTGGACGTGATCCTAGGGAATAAGGAACGTTGAGGAGGCAATGATCATTATATCATCACGTGTGAAATGATGGTGAGAATGATAATGGTCAATCCAGAGTGACAATAATTAACTGAGGGAGAGCTGGGCAAGAATGGGCAGGGCAGGGTCAGCTGGAGACAGCAACAAGCAACAGAAACTATAATGATCATAATTTGTGTCGGTTTAGTCAGTGAGAATCAGCTTAGCCAAACAGTTTCCTCTGAGCTGCTTCCAATGAAGTGTATATCCCTCCCTTAGCATGGAGACGTAGTGTAAGGAGCAAGAGCAACTCCTCTATCTGTTCACAACTACCATCTTGTTAAATCTCATCAGCACAGTCTGTGGGATCTTACTGTGCACAAAATGATTGCTGCTTGATCACCCATGGGACCTTGCCCTGTGGGATCCTCTCGGCCATTTGAAAGGCACAAGAGTTTTTTTTTTTAGCTTGTTTGAGAGTGCAAGCTACAGGGTGATCTACAGGTACACCCTGACAGCATTGACTGGCCTAGTGAATGCCAAAAAAGCAGGATAGCCAGTCTGGAGCAATGGGTGAAATACGGCACTGGGAACCAGGGATTGGCATGGGGAAGAGGGAAGGAGGCACTGTAGGGGAACAGCATGGGAGTTAGGGCTTGGGTCTAAAGGTGGAGGAAGAGAGCAAACAGCAAGGTGTGGGAGGGGGAAGGGGCTGGAATGGTGTGCACTAGGAGTACTGTGCAAGAGACAGGTGGTATCGGTTAGGGATATTCATTTCACCAAAACTGTCTTGCTGGCCTCTTGCTAGTTTGCCATAAACTCACCGGATAAGAGTTTCTGAACAGTCCACATTGGGCATGTGCCCTCTACACCTCACACAGTCTACAACTACAGGGCCTAGATTAGTCACCAGCTCCATTTGAGAGTCTTGGGGTGCAATAAAACCTTGTCAAAATCCTGTTTTCATTGCCTCCACATCCTTTGAATCATAAAGGAAGAGACAGAACTGTGCACTTTTTCAGAAACATAGAAGATAGGAGCAAGAGGAGGCCATTCGGCCCTTTGAGCCTGCTCTGCCTTTCTTCACGACTATGGCTGGTAGTGCAACTCAATAGCCTGATGCTGCTTTCTCCCCATAACCTTTGACCCATTCACTCCAAGTGCTATATCTAGTCACCTCTTGAATAAATTCAATGTTTTGGCATCAACTACTTCCTGTGCTAATGAATTGCACAGGCTCATCACTCTTTGGGTGAAGAAACATCTCCTCATCTCCATCCTAAATGGTCTACCCCGAATCCTCATACTGTGACCCCTGGTTTTGGACACACCCACCATCGGGAACATCCTCCCTGCATCTACCCCATCCAGTCCTGTTAGAATTTTGTAAGTCTCAATGAGATCCTCCCTCCCTCATTTATCTGAACTCCAGCGAAAACAATCCTAACCTAATCAATCTCTCCTCATACGTCAGACCCACCATCCCTGGAATCAGCCTGGTAAACTTTCGCTGCACTCCCTCGAGAGCAAGAGCATCCTTCCTCAGAAAAGGAGACCAAAATTGTGTGGCCTCACCAAGGCCTCATATAACTGCAGCAACACATCCCTGCTCCTGTGCTCTAAATCTCTCGCAATGAAGGCCAACATTCCATTTGCCTTCTCTACCGCCTGCTGCACCTGCATGCTTACCTTCAGCGACTGGTGCACAAGGACACCCAGGTCCCGCTGCACACTCCCCTCTCCCAATTTACAGTTATTCAGGTCGTAATCTTCCTTCTTGTTTTTGCTTCCAAAGTGAATAACCTCACATTTATCCAAATTATACTGCATCTGCCATTGATTTGCCCACTGACCCAATCATGCTGAAGGATCTATGCATTCTCGTCACAGTTCACCCTCCCATCCAGCTTGATATCATCCGCAAACTTTGAGACATTACATTTTGTTCCCTCATCCAAATCATTTATATATATTGTGAACAGCTGGGGTTCCAGCACCAATCCCTGTGGCACTCCACTTGTTACTGCCTGCCAATTTGAAAAGGATCCATTGATTCCTACTCTTTGGTTGGCAGGGAGTAAACATTTTCCTATCCATCTCAATACACTTCCCCTAATCCCATGCACTTTAATCTTGCACAATAATCTCTTATGTGGGACTTTTGACAAGCGCTT